TGGTACTGTACGTCAATTTGAAAGTGACAAGATTATAGTGTGTACTTATAGAGTGTGCACTGAGGTTTTACTGAATACAAATAAAGTTTGATTATATTTATTCGGAGAGAAGAGAAGATACATGGAAATTTTAGAAATTAAAGAATAAAACAAAAAAGTAAATCACTATTCCTATAATTTATTTGTCTTCTAATAATAATAATAATAATAATAATAATAACTGCAATCCTTACAATTACATTGTTAGGCACTTCTTTGCTTCCTACAATCTTTACAATTACATTGTTGAGTACTTCTTTGCTTCCTACAATCTTTACAAGCATAAGAATTAGTTTGATTACTAGCATAAATATAAAATGCTAAGTAGTTCAAATAAGTTTTATTCATAATTCCAATAATTATAAATGATATAAATAATAATACAAATAATAATAAAAAGGAACGAGTAAGAATATAAGGAATTATTACAATCATATTGTTGGGCACTTCTTTGATTCCTGCAATCTTTATAGTTGCATACTTGGGTACTTTCTCCGTTACGTTTAAATTCGTCTGGTTTTTCTGGATTGTATTCGTTTAATAACTGTTCTACTTGGGTACTTTCTCCGTTACGTTTAAATTCGTCTGGTTTTTCTGGATTGTATTCATATATTTCGTTTAATAACTGTTTTACTTGGGTACTTTCTCCGTTACGTTTAAATTCGTCTGGTTTTTCTGGATTGTATTCGTTTAATAACTGTTCTACTTGGGTACTTTCTCCGTTACGTTTTTGATTATATAAATTTTCGAGGTTACGAAGGCCATAAAATTTGTCTGGTTTTACTGGATTGTATTCATATATTTCGTTTAATAACTGTTCTACTTCCCTCAAGCTAATATCGTGGGCGGGTCTTGCGAGTAAGCGAGCAACCAGTCGGTATAATTCTTTTTTATATTTTTTTCTATCGTTGTATTTGCTCCATTCATGCTTAACGAATGCACCAACTAGGTCTATCATTTCTTTGAATTAAGATACTAATTAGATGGTAAAACTTGAAAAATCGAGTAATTATTTTTTATACTTACTATTCATAACGAATTTACCAACGAATTCACCAACTAGGTCTGTCATTTCTTTGAATTAAGATACTAATTAGATGGTAAACTTGAAAAATCGAGTCAAGATAGGAATCTTGGAGATAACAATAAAAAAAGAACCATCTTATATATTTAACAAAAAACGGCCCAAATTTCTCCGTGACATGTTACTCATATTACACCTTCAACAAAGAAGTTTAACATGCGACGATACACAAACTATGTTTAGAAACGCTATGACATTTGTTCTGAAACACTGAACTCTTTCTATTTTGCATACTCTTTTTGGTCCTCAGGTATAGGTGGATATTATACAATCCCATCTGCTTTATAATTAAAGAAAAATTTATATGTGACAGAGACACCAGCCCCGCTATAAAGCTCGATAATTAACTTTACTTTACACTTTAGAATAGGGCATTTTCTTACTGCTTCAGTCTTATGCATATTTATAACTTCTATTTCCAAACAGGATAAAGTACTTGAGTCTAAAGTATCTGAATCTGTGGAATACTTGATTTTATTTTTCTTGCTCTTATTTTTGAAAACATCTTCATTTAATCAGCTATAAAGATAATTAATGCAATTGTTGGTAATTGGTGTGGCTATATCATAAATAGTGAGTGAAAATTAGTGGGATCTAAAGAAAAAGAATTTGGAAATATTCATATCAAATTAACTGAAAGCCATATAATAATCACAGTTTTGATAATCAAGAAGTAATGGCTAAAAAGTTAGATAATCCTGAATATTGTCCTATAGTTCCAGTTCTTCCATCATATAAGCCAAAGGTAAGTGATGAGATTCAGAATCTTTTTGAATATGTTTTGATAAAAAAGATTTACCTTTAGAAATGCCAATCTACAATCAATTTACTAGATTTTTTCAAGATAGATATCATGTCGATATTGTTATGATATGAATATTTAGTTCTTATTTTATTGGTTAATTCATATTATAAATTTAATTGAATGATATTTTATTATATTTTATTGGTTAATTTTATATTTATATTTTATTGGATAATTATATATTAGATATTATTGGT